GGTTGAAATGTTCCTGATGTAAGGAGTTGGCTTTTAGCAATGGAGGATGTCTGGAGCGCAGTCTATTCATTTCGATATCAAGCTTATCATGGTGGATGGGTAGTTGATGGTTAGCCTCGATTTTTCGGTATTCTCTGAAAAGACAATAACTTATTCGCAGTTTCCGCGATGCAATGTGACTCAGAATGGGAAGCCTAGTTCGGTGTGGGTTTAATTGTACCTGAGATCATTCGCATTGTCTGGTTTAATTGGGTGTCGATAATCTTCTTGTGTTTGCTATTGAGCCATACCGGGGAAGCATATTCAGCCACCGAGTATACAAGTCCGAGAGAGGATGATCTGAGTACGGAATCTGAGCACCATGTGGTGCCACAAGGCTTTTGGACTATATTATTTCGCGTTTTTAGTTTTGCTGCCGTTCTTTGTAGGTGTTCATCATCAACATCATTCTGGCTTTACAACTCTGCGTGGATCCTAGCCTCCTGAAGAATTTTTCTCCAGTCGTCCCTATCCATCCTTGTTCTAGGTCTTCTTTTTGTTCTTTGATCAATGGGTCTATCAAGTAGCGTTTTTCTAGCTGGGTCATTTTGTTTCATCCGCATTACATGTTCTATCCACCTGAGACGTCCTATTTTAGTATGTTTTACGTTATCAGGTTCCTGGTATATTCTATAAAGTTCGAAGATGTATCGGCTTCTTCACACTCCATAGATTCGCCTTAGTACTTCTCTTTCGAAACATCCTAGCATGTTTTCATTATTTTTTGTTAAAGTCCAGGTATCTGAACCATATGTTAGGACTGGACAAAATAGGATCTGTTGTGCAAATTCTGCGGTTTGTCTCTACGGTAGTATTATTTTCAGTGTTAAGGAGCGCTCCCAGGTATACAAATTCGTTCACTGCTTCGAGGACGTCGTTTTCTATAACGAGTGGTCGTATGATTTGTGATTGCGTGCTTATTTTCATATACACGTTTTGTTGGTGTTTATTATTAAACCCACTTTTATAGCTGATTATTTTAATACTACATACGCCTCTCGTACAGCGTTTTCCGTTCTCCCAACAATATTGATATCATCAGCATAGACCAGGATTTGCACTGATTTATTATATATTGAACCAGTGGTTGTGATTTGTGACATACGTATTACTTTTTCCAGAGCCAGATTGAACAGTATATAGAAGAGAGGGTCTCCCTGGCGCAGTCCATTATTTGTTTTAAAAGGTTCAGACAGTTCTCCCTGAATTCGTACTCTACATTCAACTTTTTCAAGAGTTAGTTTTGTTAAATTTACCAACTGATTTGGTATCCCTTGCTCTTTCATTGCTTTAAACATTTCTCTTCTATTCACAGAGTCGTAGGCTGCTTTGTAGTCTATAAATATGTGATGAGTATCAATGCCATATTTCAGTGTTCCAAGAATTTGTTTCAGGGTTGCAATCTGATGAATTGTCTATTTACCACCTGTAAAAGCAGCCTGGTATTTTACTACTATCTATGCATTTGATGCCTTACGGTGACATAGTACTGTAGAAAATATTTTATATGCTGCATTTAGAAGCGTAATTCCTCTGTGGTTACAGCATTTAAAGATATCTGCTTTTTGTGAATCGTGCAAAGTATTCCAATATTCCAATCATTGGGGAGGGATTTTTGTGTCCATATTTCTTTTATAAGCTGCTGTAATGCCATTATGGTATTGTGACCACCTTCTTTATATAGTTCAGCTGGGAGATTATCTATTCCGGCTGATTTATTTCTGGCTAGTTTTTTTAACTGCATCTTTAACTTCAAGAATCGTTGGTGGTTCCTCTTCTCTCTAGTTTGTTCCCATCTCTTTCGTCTTCCAGATTTTCTTCTTCCTCTATATTATGTGCCTGGTATTCAACCCATCTTTGTTATTAGGTCGCCATTCTGACTTCTGCATTGCCTTGTGGTTGCCTTGAATTCTTTTCTGTTGATGTTAACGTTCTTTTAGAATGTTCTGAATTATTTCTCCCTATTGAGGTTTTCTATATATTTAAGTTCCTTATTTAAGTGGTTTGGTTTTTTCTTTTATGTATCCTTTTCTCTTCTCTTTGTTTGGTAATTCTCTACAGTTGTTCCAGTTCGTGAGGTTTAATTTTTTTCTTTTGTTGCATTCATCGTCAAACCAATGATTTTTTCGGGAAATTTCTGTTCCTATTTCATCATTTGCTGCTGCTTCAATATCCAGTAGGATTCTATGTCGGTCTGGCCTTCTTTATTTACATTTTGATTCATTAGCCTGTAGGTGATGTTCTCCGAGTACCGTTCTGTAAATGTCACATCTCTCAGCTTTTTCACATTCCATTTTTTCCTTTTCATTCCTGGTGTTTAAAATTCTAGCCTTGAATGTTTAAATCACTAGGCAATGATCTGAGTCTATTTGCGCCTCTAAAACTTCTGCAGTTTATTACATCTGTTCCATGCCTTGAATCTATTAAGATGTAATCAATCTGATTCGTTGTTCTTCCATCTGGAGAGGTCCAGGTTACCTTGTGTATGTTCTTGTGTTCAAAATAGGTGCTAGCGGCTGTCATATTTAGTGCTGCTTTTAAGGCTGTTTTATCGGTACACCAAAACCTAGATACAGTGTTTTCTGTGTTATTTACCGACAAAATGTCTCAAAATTTGGACACGTCATTCAAAATGATGTTGCCTTTAAACTGGTTTTACTTTTTTAATTTTTTTGAAAGTTCTTTTGAAATATCGGATTATGCAGTCTAACGTTCTATTATAACCAACCTTTTTACGCCCATCACTTGAAAGAATTTTTTCCCCTGTAATCGTTGATTTTTTTTTTTTCACCTTTTTATGTCCAGTAATAATCAAGAAAAGCTTGTTCAAACTTTGAAGAAAATTGCTAAAAAATATTGAAATCTAATAGTGAAACGTGTTACTCATCATTGGCATTTAGTTTCACCGATATCGGCTGCGTGACGTCAAATCTCATAAACGTACGGTCAGTTAGTTTGATTTGAAATCATTTTCAAGTTATAACTGCGAAATTGTTTATTTGTTTGTGACAACAAATTGTATTTTTTTTGATAATATTTTTATGTTATTTTAAATTTATTATAAGTAAACACCATGTTGTTTTTTGCAGTCACATTTCGCAAATTTTTATTCAATACTATATTTAGCTAAGACATATAAATTAAAAATGTGATAATTATTTTTAAAACATCTACGATAATCAAACAAAAAAGGTATTCCCGGCAAAAGTAATTTGAATGGAGAATAACGCATTTGTTGTCATTAAACCACCCGCCGACCGGCGCCACTGCGAAAACAGCTGTACCCGTCGTCGGCTGGCGTGAGCAGTGTAGAAAAGTAAGTGATACGCCAATTTCAAATCGCAGTGTGTTTTGACTGCTAAAACAGCCTTAAGTATCTTCTTCTTCTTCTTCGGCTTTTCCCATTATGAGTTCGCCGTTTTCGTCCTCCACAGCACTCTATTCTCCTAGTCACCTTCTCTGAGGTCTCTATCTATTATAGCATTTCTGACGTATGTTTTCCATCTTGTAGCAGGTCTTCCTCTCCGTCTTCTTCCCGGCGGGTCCCAGTTTAATATTCTTCTCGGCCACCTATGTTCTGGCATTCTTTGTACATGCCCGTATCACTGCAGGGCTCTGTTTTCCAACTTTTTTGTAATTGAGCATTCTAATTCCATTCTGTTCCATATTTCCTCCGTTCTTATTCTATCCGCTCTTGTGATTTGTAGACATCTTCTCATAAAGTCCAGTTCAACTGTTTTGTTGTCATTGGCCATACTTCCGCTCCATATAGGGTAATATTCATCACTATGCTTTGAAAGATCCTCTTTTTGTTTCTTTGGTTAGAGTGTTGTTCCATATCAGTCCATGAAGTGCTCTTGTAGCTTGTATTCCCCGTGCTATTTTCATTTCTATATCTTTCATACAAGTACCATCTCGGCTAATCATTGACCCTAAATACTTAAAAGTCTTACAACTCTTAATAGTCTCTTCTTCTAAACTTAAGTTCAAATCTGCAACCTCGGGTCCAATACATAAGTATTCGGTCTTGCACATATTTATCTTGAGTCCCTAAAGTTCATATTCTTCCTTTAATTTCCTTATCATATATTCCATATCCTCCCTGTCTTGTGCAAAAATGACTTGATCATCTGCGAAAAGTAGTAAATGTAATATATTCTCTTGTACTGGTATGCCCATTGTTCCGCATTTTCTATACCATCTTTTCAAACGACCCTAGACTGAATATGGAAATGATTTTTGATTAACGAATAGAAAGATGGTCCTCTGAAGATACCCGACACTCGGAAAAAGTCATTATTTAAAAACCAATCCAACACAGCCTCGGATTTTGGACGGAAACAAGGATATACCACTTAGGCTCTTAAGTATATCAGTCGTAATTCATTATCGCTACTGATGTTGTGTAGGCTATGCTTTCTTATCGTGGGCATGAAAACTAGCTCTCGTCCTATTCTTGCATTCATTTCACCTAATACAATCTTAATGTCATTTCTAGGATATCTTCTGTAGGCTTGCAGGTCTTCGAAGAACTTCTTCTTCTTCAAGTGCCCTGTCCGTTGCGAACGTTGGCTATTAACATGGCAATTTTGATCTTGTTTGCGGCGCTTCTGAATAGTTCGACCGATGTGAGCCCGAACCACTTCCGCAGATTTTGGAGCCACGAGTTTCGAAGAACTGTTCTTTTATTTTCTCTGGTTTGTCAACAGTTGGGGCATGTGTATTGATCAAACTGTAATTGAAGAATTTCCTTTTTATAGCACATTCTGTAACTGTAGGAGTGATGGAGTCTCCTCTAATACCCCTCTCCAAGGGAAATATGTTTGTGTCTCTATAACACATTCTGACTGTACTATCTATTCTGACATCAATACTGCACTATGTAAGCGCTCTTAATATGTGATACAGTACAAGTGAAATATTCTGAAATTAAAATATTTAGACAAAAAAAAACAAAAGTTGATCATAATCATATATTATTATGGTTGATTTCTACAAGGATCTTTTACATTACATGGAACTTAAAAACTAAATGTTTAATTTATTTTATACAATAAATGGTCAAAAAAGGAAATAGGTGTTTATGGCACCCACTAATGATGAATTGAAAATGAGGGTTAAAACGAAAGAATTGCTCCCAAAAATTGAACTTAGCTTATCGGAATATCGGTCAGATCGTTCGAGTTGGACTTTGGTAAGGATTATATACATCACATTAATATCTCATCCTTCGAATCCATATATACAAATAAATAAGGACAACAATATAATAAGTCTTCTCCATATATAAAACCTATCCATATTTATTGAAAAATAAGGTTTAAATTTTATCATATGGAGACTGTTACAACTTCGTGTACAATGAAGACCATAAAACTCACACACTATACAGGGATTTTCTGTCGTCTTGAGTTTATGAATGTTATAGTCATTGATTGTAGCGCAAAAGCTGTAATATAGTTCAAACTACACAAATATCGAAAATTTACAATCAAAAGGCCACCGTCACAAATATTTGGTAAATTTTTACATCAATCATTACTGTGTAAATATATACTCCTATAATACTTCTCATGATTAGTATTTACTAGTTAGAATAAGCAAAATATTTGAGATTTTTCTATCACAATAGTTTAAACTGTATATTCATAGAAAATGTTACAAGAATGAAATGATGAAGCGATGAACTTTTTTGTTTTTTACATTACCTTTTTATTAATATCTTACCAGAAAATAAAAACACAAATAATTAGAAAGGCAAATTTGGCAAAATTAAAATAAAATATTAGAATAGCCATCAAAATAATTAAGAAATATAAATACATAGATAGTAAGTGAAGTAGGTTTTAAATGGAGAAGTTGGTATAAAAATTACCAATATTACTGTATTTTGCAAAACGCACAATAACTTAAATATAAATGATTTTGCTTCATGTATACTAAAAAATTAGTAATATCAATTCATATTTTTATTATTATATTATTTGTATAAGTTATTCTTATGACAAATTTCTCCATTTTTCAAAACAAAAAGGTGATTAGAGCTGTTAGGGTTGGATCCTTGGGTATTCCAAAAATACTCGGCCCACCAAGAAGCTCTGGTGCGCAAAAAATTTAAAACTCTATAAGTGCAAATTCACAACAAAGTTTAAGTTCAATGGTACTTAAACATCTAGTGAACTGTTTTATGGTGCTTTTGTATCGAATTCTAATGTAGTTTCTAATCTATTAGCATGCAAGGAAGTGAGAGTGGATAGGGTATATTAGTGATTGCCTAAATTACATTAGAATCAAAGTGAAATCAAGAGTAAGAAATTGGAAAGGTAGGTGGGATCATTTGTTAGTAAGGGTGTTCACTTTCACCGATACAAAAACTATATTTTCGTAGAAAAGTAAAGACCCAACCACCAGGATGAAAATAAGCGAATAAAAATCATTTTAAATAAAAATATTTTTTGGTTGTCTGTAATTTTAAAACATGAAATCTTGGAGATTTGTATGGTATAGTAACAACTTTGGTTTTATGTTAATTCGCAAGCGCTGTTTAATGTATGATAATTTATTCAAAATGACTTTTATAATTGGAAAACAAACCGTTTATAATTGCAGGTCAAATTTAGAACAGTAACTCCTATGATGAGGTTTAATTGTATCAATCTAATGTTTCTTACTAATGTAATCAATATTGTATAAATCTAATTCGTCTCTACGATAAGAATAGCTTTATCAACGAGAGTAGGCTTTATACAAGCTGTGACCTACAATTATTTCGTTCTGACTGCCTAAGACGAGACTTGCGAAAAAATAATTCCAGATCACGGTCGATAAATCCCAAAAAACAATAAAACAAGGGCAGGTTTGTAGCACTGGGCATAGATCACCCTTTTATAAGTATAAAGATATGAATGCATGAACCAAAAGGTTAGAATCATTCAAAATGAGGGCTTCGAAAGAAGATGACTTATTACATCAGATATAAGCAGTACAAATTTAAATTGAATAGCTTAGAATATGATCATAATAACTATAATAATTCAGAGAACTGTTAAAATCATAAATAAATCATCGTTTTCATCTACAAATATTTGAGGATTTTCGTGGTATAAGAATATAAAGAATAGACCGGGAACACACAAACAAAACAGGTGAAGTCATCTGACAATTTTATGAAACTTTATTTCGTTACAAATTATACTTTCGAAGATGAAGAGGGAAAGAGATTTGATAGCAAGAGCGAAAAACTGTCCGAAAGCAGCAAAGATAGATATATATGGTATAGACAAAAGATTTTAGACTGATCTGTTCTTATAAACCTCACTATCATTGGAGTTTACTGTCCTATTATATCGATCAATGTAACAATTTCTTGAATATACCTAGAACTAAATGTTAAATGTGAAAACCATTTAATACAAATATGGCCTCTAATATTAAGTACCTAGTATTTTTTAATACTATATCACTTAAGGGCAACGAAACTGTGTATCTAAAGCCAGCAGTAATGATCACAATAACAAGCAGCAACAATATTTGAATCTAACCCCTAATAACAAGTTACTATTAAGAATATACAGGGTAATACGGCTACTATCGGCACCACAACTTTGACAAATCATGTATAAGTAGGTAAGGTCAGGGAGCTCTAGGTCAAAACTTGTTATTGTTATCCTTTAATAATATAACAAAATACAATACTGTCTTCAATAATTTCCGCTGAATATAGTCAACATCTTCCGCTGATTCCTCATAAAAGTGATCATTTTAAACTACCTATTTTTGTATGCGAACAATATGTAAATATAAATAAAAAAAGATTTAAGTACTTTCCATCTAATTAACTGTCCGTAGTAGACAGTAATACTGATCTCCTAGCGCTATCTATTTATTCGTTGAGAATTAAATCTATATTTTTAAGACTGTTCATTTGTAATATTTTGAATAAATATCATTTAAATCTAATTTATTAGATCTTTATTAAAATTACAAATTTAATTCTTAACGAACATATAGATAACGGGAGGTCAGAGTGACTATCTCTAACAGCTATTTAATTAGGTAAGAATAGTAATAAAATCTTCTGTTAATTATGCAGATTGTTAACTCACAAACATACTTTAAAATAATCATCTTTATGAGGAAGCTGATGTTTCAAGTAAATTGGCTTATATTCTGTGAAGTTTGAAAACAACATTTTGTTTTATATTTTATGTTCTATTAGTTAACATAAATTTCCATTAAGTAACCCTCAATTCTATAAATAGTTTAAATGCATATAGTAAATAGCCAATTACTACCTAATTAATAAAGATTTAAGTGTTTAATAAAAGTCGTTTTGTGTGTTTTATACATATTTCATAATATCAGATAATATCCACTATTTAAAGATACTTATTTGGAAAACATTTGCGAATAATTAAAAATAATATAATCCTAAACAAGATTCCTTACCTCTGCAATGTAAAATAAAAATGAAAATTCAAAAAGACAAAAAAAAGTTTAAAGAGTATCTATAAATTATAATCCATAAATGAAACTTAAAGAAAAACCTATGATAAAGTTTGCTAGATAATAATTAGATATAAAAAATCAAAATATATTTAAAAATAATTTATGATCACATTAGATTGTATAATACTTTTTTTTAAATAAATAAAACTACGTGTAAAGTTTAACATCTATAAAGATTCTTTTCCTTAATTCACTTTAACAAGTTTTGACCTAGAACCACGTTCACCTGTCTTCTCTACATACTTGCGAAAGCAGTAGCATCCTTTATAAATCTCCTTAACAACTCGCCGATCGCAGTTAGTCTTACGTTACAAGTGCAGTCTGTATAAAAATTTACAACTCAGCATTATTTAATCTACTTATGATTTATTTACAATCAGAAACGTCCCTTGTCCGCAATAACCGCCGATTTGGGCACCAGTCCTTTTTGAGTGCCTCTGCAACACAACAGCCATTTCTCGTCGACTTCTAAGACTACGCGAAGTCTCTCACCTTCATTGTAGGACAGATGTCCGCTTTCTGACGGTAATCGATGACTTATCGTTCGCACAACCCTATAACATAGTTTTAATATATAACTGAACACTTTTAAGATGTTTAAAGAATGTACTCTGGGAAATACGCATCCTTTATATAAAATTTCTTAAATGTCAAAAGAAGATACTTTATTTTAATATATATATATATATATATATATATATATATATATATATATATATATATATATATTTACGACAGGATGTCTGTGTTTATTGAATTGGTAAAAAACAACGCGCTATGACGTCATTTCGGCCTCCCAAGGCTCATCAGACATGGGGGCTGAATACAAAATCAAACACAAACGACAAACAAACCCCTTCTAACTACTTTTCACTCAATTGGTAAGCACATGATACTATGACTATAAGATAAGATATTGCGCATGTTTTTGTGACGTCATTGGAGACTTGCACGTTCGAAATGTCAGTTTTTGTATATATCAATAAATAATCTTTAATAAATAGGTTGGAGATATCCTTATGTGTACGATTATTGTAATTATTAAACCTCTTAACTTATTTTCGTCTAGTAATTTCATCACAGAATGCATACAAATCTCATTTAACTTTAACAAGAATTCAAATTCTAGTCTCCAATGACGGCATGCGCGAACCCGACCGATTTTGAGCTACGGGAAGATCCTATCTTGTTATTCATAGTATCATGAGTAAGCATACAAAGCTGCCAATTTTCGATCAAGTGGTAAGCGTACAAAGGCGCCATCTGCTTGTATGTATCTAAGACAGTACATACATTGACAAAGCGCAAATGACAGAAAACAATATTAATAAATAATTTTCGTTTATGGCCATCAAAGTGGATGGCATCTTTGTACACTTACCACTTGAGTGAGAAACAGTTAGGAGAGGTTTGTTGGTCTTTTTAATAAGGCCATGTAAGGACGAAATGTCGTCATAACGCAGTGTCGTTTACCAATTCAAATACAGGCGTACTATTTATTTTAAATATATATATATATATAGGTATATATATATATATACTCATATTTAAAATACAAAAATTAGTTCATCAATAAAAAAATTTTAGTAATAGAAATAGGCATTATTTGAGTTTTATGCCACAAAAAGCACGATGATTGGTTATTATTCTGCAACAAGAGCAAACAGATGCTTAGATACCTAATCTAAATGAAATGTTAATTTTAGAATGCCGAAAATGATTTCATTCTCTACTCACTCAGGGGCTATAGAAACCGCCAAAAAATTTTTGCAAAGGACAAGGATTGTCCATATAAGACGGATCTATTATTACTGTCAACCTAATCGTAAAAGAAATTTTAATTGTGGAAAATTATGGTCAGAGCTGTAAAGAGCTCTACAGATCATATAAAAGTGTAATAAAAAATAACGTATTGTGTCGAAAATGCATAGGTACTGTTTTAAAATTAATAAATTTTAAAATTAGTTAATTAATTTTTGCACCTTTACTTTAAACATCAACCGTTAGCTAGCACAACTACAAAACGTAAGAGAACGGCCATTCTTTTTAGTCGTTCTTCAAAAAGTAATTTAATTTTATCCAATATCAACGTATGTATATCTTCTATATAGAGAAGAAACTAGGTTATGTGTCTACCCGAATTAAAAAACAGTGAAAGAGTTGAGAGATCATGGTCGTTAAGACAGATTAAGATTGGTCCTCATTTGAAGAATGGTCATAGTCGCTAATATATTCAAGATCTTCTTAAACAAAATTGTTGAAATTTATAACTTCAAAACGAAATTGATAATTAAACTTTACATAGGAACAATATGGTATCAAGTTGTAATTAATGCAGCTGAAGAAAATACGGATTATTAGAAACATATTTTTTATAGATGTCCATGCTTTAAATTCATTGATATGTTAAAAATTTTAATGAAAGTGGTTGCCTTTAAATTTTGTTTAACTATTTGCTTTATATGAAATTACAATAAATTCATCGGGCATTATAATGGTAGGTCACTTTTGAAAATAAAATTAAAGTTTATGGATATACTAAGGACAACTTTGTGTTTCTTGGATAAGACATTGTTTATGTGAATATTCGCAACCTATAAAGTTCCAATACATTAATATTCAAAAATTTTAAATGTATATGAGCATTATGTGCAGTAAATCATCCAGCTACAAAGTATTTTTCAAATAAAATCCAGAGAGTTTCCTGGTTTTCGACACAAAATGTTATTTTTATAATAATTACTTTGCTACTTACTTCGGTGTTGACTGAGTAAGTGGTTTTCTGCTTAATGAACTTGACGCTGCACGTCTGGGTGGTGTTATTTTGGACGTTTTTCCATTAGCTTGTGTGGGCTTGTTGTAAGGTAAACTACTAGGTCTTTGGGGGTGTCTCACTGCATCATGCGGATGATCCAGTTGGTCCATTCTGCTCGCCCTTTAAAAGAAAATAAGTTATTAAGTGTGTTACGTGATTGAGTGTTGAAATTTGGGAAGTTTGATCAGTATGATCAGATTGTAAGTACATCTGAAACATATCTTTTTGGTATTATCCTCGCCTTTTGTCGAGCCTCCTTTTCAAAATAGGCCATTTAACAGTTTACCACATCCTAACATAGCGCAGAATCCATAGCTACATCGTTAATTTGCTTGTACACATACCCATTGTAAAAAAAAGCAGCCGACTTGGCAGATCTTCGTTCTCTAGTGTTATTTGTATAAACTCTATTCACAACGATATCTAATTCACACAACAAGGACGGCTTTTTAGACCATACGCATATTTTAGACAAATCAACACAGACAGTTAGCTTAAACACTCACTAACATCAGCACTCATTAGTGTAATTGCCAAAGAGTACAAGTAGTTGCGAAGATCCTCATTATAAGATAAAGTAAGTGATGACTACAAAATTTAAGGAACAGGCAAAACACATCATACAGAATGCAGAACAGTAGCGACAAAAAATATTATATTGCAATGAAGTCAAAAACCGTCTTATCTCCTGAATCTTTATGTGCATCTATGGATTTTTATGTATATATTGGAGATGATTCACACAAAAAGATCAAAAACAGATATAGAAGATCTTTCTAATACATATACATATCTCAACATTTCCGTTAGACCCGGGAGCCATTCTGTCTCCGGCTTCTGTACACAATGTAGCTTCGCCTATTTTTAAAATTTTTTAAAGTGTTTGTTTCTCCTTGTTTAGTGTAGTGTGATGTACCATTTTATTCTTGTCGGATAGGCCACAATTGACGAAATGCCCCTGAAGATGCTCTAGAGAGCGAAAGTACTTGGGCAAGATAAAATTAATTAAACTGTGTTCGATATTTGCCTTTTATTTGATCAAAGATAGAATAAACACTGAAGGAGAACGACTGGGCTTGAAGATTAATATACACAAGACGAAGGTAATGGTGGTTAGTAGAACACGAAATATGCAATTAAATATAAGAGTAAACAATAAGAACTTCCAAAAGATCCCCAAGTTCAGATATCTCGGTAGTTGGATAACTGAAGATCTAGATCCAGACATAGAGATACGTAGCAGGATTGAGCAAGCCAGAACAGCATTTACTAATATGAGAACCTTGCTAAGCAACAACAGCCTTAACTTAATGCTTCGATATCGCTTTGTAAAATGTTCCATGTACTCCATACTGCTATATGGTGTAGAAACCTGGACCATAAAGACCAATGTGATGAACCGATTGGAGGCCTTTGAAATGTGGGTATTTAGAAGACTACTTAAAATTTCCTGGACAGATCACACAACAAATGTCGAAGTATTAAATCCAATAGGCAGAGAACGAGAATGGCTGCCAATAATAAAAAGAAGAAAAACTGCTTATCTGGATCATATATTTCGAAATTCCAAGTACCAGTTCTTAAAGCTTATTATGGAAGGGAAGATAGAAGGAAAATGGGGCATCGGAAGAAAGAAATACTCATGGCTTAAAACCATAAGGGGTTGGACAAACCTCGATGCCCATGCACTTTTTAGAGCCACACAAGATCGAGAGGAGTATGCCAAAATTGTCGCCAACATCCACTAATGGGATAGGGCACCATAAGAAGAAGCAATCTTAATTGGTTAATATTATTGGAAAATATAACCCATAATTTAGCTATGCTAGAAGCCATACATAAATTATATATACAAAAATATTTACCTTGTATTGGGCACGTTTCTCTTCATTGGTGAGCTTTTAACATTCGGTAAAGATTTGCAATGCATAACTTTCCCACCTGGCGGCGTGGTAACTTTTTTCACAGTCTTTGCAGTACTCACAGGTATTGGTATTCCAGAGGGTTTGATAGGAGAAGTGATAGGTCGGGGTATTTTTGATTTTGTCACATGTGTTGGCGATGTTGGTGGAGATTCTGTTGAATTTTGTCCGCTTAGCATTTCCCAACGTTGTTGCAGTTTCTTAAATCTGAAAAACATGACAGAGTTGGATAAGAAGGATAAAGTAAACCAGCATGTACATAAATCTATATAAATATGTTGATATAGTGATAATATTTACCTTTTGCCATTTATGGGCTTTTCATCAGAAAAGTTGGAATCCAATGACTCAGGTTCCTGGTCATCGTGCAAAGGAGGAACATTTTCTTGTGAATTTGATTCATCGCTCTTATCATTTCGAGGATTTTCTAAGCTATCTGTATAATCTTCATCCTCTTTGGCTAGTCTGTCGTAAGCTTGGTAGAGTTTAGACGTCAAAGAGATACCTGACCAGCGTTTCTTTGCTATGTCATTTATGTCTTCCCCTAATTTAAAGCTCGGATGATTTCCACTGCTCTCTACACACGACCGAGGTCTTTCTTTCTCAGCCCGTAGCTTGGATTTTGATACTGGAGAAGTGCTGATCAGATCGGGCAGATCTTGATCTCTACATGAGAAATTTCTTACGGTGTTTGCTGTTGATATTTCCTCAGATTCTGAATTAGAACGCGATCTTGATAATTCCAGTTTTGCGGAGGTAAATTGTTTGAAATTGGGCGATGGAGACTGCTAAAATACATACAAAATTTGTTAGGGTTACTTTACTATAAAAGCTATTGTTCAATTATTAAATATATAGAATATACAATATACATTAAATTTACTTTAAGACAAGGGGCTTTCATTAGAATAGAAATTAAAGTTATCCATCTTTGAAATAAATATACTATTAGAAATGTTTGAAGCGGTTTTTGTAAACGAAATATAGATAAACAGATATGAATTTCAATTTCAAAACTACAGGGGGCAGCATACCAGACCCAACATTGAAGTATGATAAAATAATTTCAACTGCATAACATGTGAAAATGAGAACAGAGTAGATCAAGTTGTATAACATTCAATAATGATGACATAATAAGTGGAAAATAGAACATGGTGTAGACCAAGGTGTATAGAAAATAAGAACAGATTAGAAAAAGCTATATAACATTCAATAATGATGACATAATAAGTGGAAATAAGAACATGGAGTGGACCAAGGTGGATAGAATTGGTAACACAAGATATCAGAAGATAGGCTATCCCATCTGGAAAACTGAGATATAGAACATGATTAAGAGAAAATTGTCAGTGATATATTTTAATATTAAATATAAATAATATTAAAACCAGAAAAAATGTAAAAAAAGTTAATGAGTATTGTTGATTTTATGGTAGCAATAGAAAAAATAAGAATATAAAAAAATAAAAATGTAACATCGTTCTTCAAACGTGACAATATTTTAAGATGAGTGAGGCCATATATGTTGTCAATAAACTAATAGGAAAGTAATGCATAAAATATTAAATCTATATACAAATTCATATCATTATTTCTTTGACGTATCATTAGAGAAAAAAAATTGGATTCAAATTCATGTCTACTATAAATAATGCAGTAAATGGTAATACCGATTAGGAGTATTTGTAATCAAATTTGCTTTATTGTGATCCGGAAAATGTAAGTGCAAACGTAGCAATAGTGTTTTATGTTAGTATGATTAGTAAGAACAAGACTACTAGCTTTGTTTAGTTACTAAGATGCTATCGCACGACGACGTGACTCGAGGTAACACTTCTTTTACATATGTTAGCAGAATATAGTTAGCCCGAATCACAAACAAAATCTAACAAGACAAAATTAAACATACAAACTATTTTCTCGTAGTTCCTACCGATAGTTTTAAAACATACATCCTAGAATTGTATTTCCGAAAAACAAACTTATTAGTTTTAATATCTTAATTTTAGTATTGGAAAGTATATCTGAAATTATCTCTATAAATATATCATTTTCTGAAAGCTATACTAGCACCTAAATATTTATTTTAGGTAATTTAACTAGTTTTTCTCCAAGCTACAGTTTTCACTTTCGGGAAATGTAGCAAATAAATAAAAAATCAATATATTGAAAAAAGCTTCAAAAATATTTTCTGTTTTTTTTTAAGTAAAATATAGTAGCTTGGAAAGAAAGCAGTGTAAGGTTAAGTGGTCATGCATACCTTGTGCGTAGGACTAAACGGTTGATGATACGAATCCATTCTCTTAAAGCTCTGGTGTAGTTGTTTAAATTCAAACAGCAAATCCAACTGGAAAGGCAAAAAGGCAAGTGGCTGCAAAGCAGCGATCATCGTATCCAATAGAGATCTGATATTTGCTCCTCCTGTATGCGACATCACCAACAACGAATCTGCAGTATAATGCTTCTTTAGTACACTCTCTCTAGTTCTTAGAAAACTAGCCCAAGCATCCAAGGACCTAACGTTGAGCAATCCGAAGACGAAAGCGTTGAATTTGACCAATCCTTCCGTTATGGCATCTTCGCTGTTAATACGCATCACTAAATCATGCAGTGCTTTGGTAAGAGGCCCTTGCTGCGAAGAAGCCTCTACCACCTGCCAGACAGAATTATGTATAGCCCCAAAACTTGTTTCAAGACTCGGCTTTAAGCCATCACTTAATATTGCGTAGAGTGCCGGACAGAGCGTGGTTAATGCCAATTTGGCGCATGCTGGATTTATGCTTGAGTCTCCCAGTGCATTTAGTTCGATCTGATTGGATGCCAGTGAGAAATGGTGCATGATTTGCTCAACTGAATCGGTAACTGAACTGATTAGAGAACGTTTTTGAATAAGGTTATCGGAAAGGGTTTTGTTGAGGTGAATTGGGGTAGTTTGAGGACTAGAATAATTGGGACTGTTTTCGTTCTCTTCGCAGATGGGCATCTCGGTAAGGTTTTTAGTCTATAAAAAAATTGTGTAATTTTAAAAATAAAATTTACATTTTTAAAAAGAATATATTACAAACTTTATTATTATCAGTAATGGACAAGTTAAGTACTTTTCGTAATACTTCAAAAAAATATATATTCCTCTCATTTTCTAATTCTTAAACTTAATTTCCAGAAAAAAATTTGGCAAAACAATAACATTTAGGTACTTAAAATACTTTTATGACTACATATAGTGTTCTAAAGTTTGAAGTTCCTAGTCTTATTTTATAGACCAGATTTCAGGAAATTTAAAAGATTGGAAGGTAATAGAATATATATTTATCTTTCACCGCTACATATAGTATATACCACCTCGTCTGCTACATACATGTATGATGAGCAAATATTTCCAGACAGAAAAGAAAATATCAGAACTATCAGAACAGAAATAAAAGCGAGACAAGAGATTTGACGAAGATGTACGTAGTAGATGTATGTAGTGATGGATTCATTTCCTGTACGTTTACTTTCCCCCTGGGTTAAAAATCTCCTTCCAATAGACACCTCACTCACCATCTTTAACAAACATGAATCTTCTAACATTCTTATAAAGAAAGCATTTTTAGAAATTATACAAAAAAATATTATAATTTAATTCTCTATACTGATGCTCTATAACTACCACTGGTGTTGGCTGTGCAGTAACCGCTAAAAATGAACTTGTAAGATCATCTCGGTTACCCTTAACATGCAGCGTTTACACAGGTGAACTATATAGTATTCTATTGGTTTTTAAGTAAAACAGACATATTGCCATTTGTTCAGATTCCCTTTCATCTATCCATTCAGTCAATACAATTTTCACTGACCACCCATTAGTTAAAAAACATTGATGACATATACCAAAATCTCTCTGCTCACGATGTAACAGTCTCTCTAACATGGCTGCCTTCTCATACTGGAATTACTGGTAATGAAACAGCAGATCCTTAGATCTTTTTGCCAAAGAAGCTACCAACCATAATACTGGGGTCTCTCCAATTTAATTAGCTAACGATCTCAAACTCGTTTTTAAAAAGTCAGTAAAGGATACTTGGCAAAACTTATGGCAAAAGAGCAAAACAAGCCTTCATAAACTCCAACCGCTTATTAGTCATCTCTCCCTGGACTTCCTAACTAGAAGAGAAGCATTGACTATTAAAAGACTCCGAATCAACCACACCAAACTTACCCATGATTTCTTGATGTCCTCTGGAACTCGTCCAACTTGCCACCATTGCAATGTTTACCTGACTGTAAAACACATCCTCGCCGACTGCAAACAATTCACCAACCTGTATAAAGCATTGGACTTGAAATCTACTCTTAAGAAAATGATCAACAAACCTACAGAGATCACAAAAACTATACAGTTACTAAAAACTGCTCAACTCTAGCACAAGATTTAACCTAATAGAGATTAGTTAAAGTGATATAGCACAAAAAAGATGACGATGCAAATGGGAAAATTCGAAGATATATTATCACTGTAATAATGAAGATGTCATGAAGACACACTATGATCTCGAAGAACTACCACATAGACATGCACAACAATTTATTGACTTAAAGATGCCATGACAATTTTCAGGTATACCCACATGCACCAGCAAGTTACATCGACAAGAAAATTCCCAGTGCAAGTGGTAAAAAATGGGGGTGGTTTTAGTCAATAGACAGTAGTTGAAGGGATATATTGGATCACTTTTCTCTAAGAAAAAAAGCAGACATTGGCACATTACCTTGAGTCCGATACTCTCTTCCCAGACCGGGTTAAAGCCTTTCCATTCCAGCAAAAAATATATACAACAGGTTTTCACAATATCATATGCGATAGACGTATGCGTTAAGATATAAAAATTTTTAGAATCATCTAGTTAAATATTACAAATATTTGTGTATATAATGGATGAAATAGCATTTTAAACCAACTGAACTTGTCCATACTCTTTGATTTAATCAATATAAAAAGAATATGCTTACCTGGTAATTTTTCTGTTGCACAAACGCAGAAACATTCGGCGAGTTGTTAGGTGGAATAAACTGTTTGGTCTCCAAATGTTTCGGTAAAACATTAACCTTTTCAGCAAAACTGACACATTTCTTTCCTCCGAAGTGTTCACTTCCATCCTGATTGATTTTCAAAGCCAAAAACTTGCTAACATAGGATCTTAGTTGGCCGAGACTTTTTTCTGAAATATCTTCTTGGTCAGATGATGAAATTCCGCTTAATTTCAAGAAATCTTCCAATTGAGCCAGTTCGTCGTTGCTGATATTTGATAAGTTGAACTCTGTATGATGGTGAGGTAGACTGTCTGGATGTTCATCAAGGCTACTACTAGACGTACCAGCGTCCACACCTTCGTCTTCTGTTTCAGAAAATCTTTTGTTTCGTAAGAGATAGTAGGGTTCTGGGAAAGATTTCCTCTTGTAGTTGATATCTTCCACATTCTCTTCCTCGCTGGTTTCATACATGCTGTATCGTTTGCTAACGTCCACCTAAAATAAAATAATTTTTATATAATATAACTATAGGGTACATTGTAGATTAATAAAACCAAAAGTACCAAAAAATTAATTTTACTTGATGGAAGAACACTTAAGTCACCTTCAATTTTATACAGATGAGATATTTTTAACACTACTAGGAAATTGTACAAGCTTATCTTGAAAATAAATAGAGTTTTAACGGGATAAAGGTGGAATCTATATCACTAAATGCAATATATGGATGGTCTATCACAAGGTACCAAGAATTTTTCTACACATAGTATACATTATAACTAATTAAAGATCCATATAATTTTCATTTTACTGTTAAGTAGAAGAGTAGTGATATCAATCGATTAACATTTTAACATAGTTAATGATTGGCTTACGATTAAAATAAATATACACATACCTTTTCTAAACCTTTTCTCAAAATTCCTCTTGGCAACGGTGGTCTAGGAGGCAAACATTCCTCCTGATGAGAGTTAACACATCTTACTGGTACTCCGGGTGCAGTGGTAGTAATGCTACGTTGCTTTTCGCTAGTCAACAAACTTGCCTCTGAGCTGGTAACACTATCATAGCGATAAACGAACAACGGGTTGAGATTGTTATTCGGCACAGGGCTGTTTTGAGAGTCAGTCAGTAAACTAGAAGAGCCTCTGTATCCGGAACTAGGTTGGGTGGCGGTGCTTGAACTGGAAGACTGGTTGATTTCGCAACTTAACGGTCGTCTTTTGGCGAATTTATTTTGGATAAAAGATGGCTTTTCCCTTGCGGACATTTTGATATGTTCAGATACTTCCGGTACTTCGGATAAGATTTTTCGATACTCCTGTGGAAGGAGCACATTTAATGAGTCCCAGTCTTGCACGTGACCGAATCCCTTCTTTTTCAAAGATTCCAGATCATTGCAGCTAAATGGTCTGCGTTTATTGCTCACTACTGGAGGTTTTTGGGGAAGTAGCAAGAGATCAGAACCGACGTTTTTGTCGTTTAGAAAATCTAAGTCAGGCAGAACATAATTAGGATACAAAACATAAACGGGTTTCTCACCTTCACCCTCCTTCTTAAGTTTGTTTAGAAAAGAAGGTTCTACTACTTTGATTTGTTTTTTAGTATTATCGAAGCAAGTTTTGTTAGCGTTTTTAAGATTAGTTATTTCTGAAAATTGTGAAGTTTGTATACTCCTGTTCATTAGTATATTTTTAATATTCATCTTCATAGATTTTTCGGCACTAAAACTATTGTTATTATTCACATTTTTAGGTAACACTTTTTCGGGTTTTTGAGTATTTTCTTTCCCACTCAGATCCAACTTTGATAAACTTTCCGCAAGTTGATCTACGACTTCGCACTTTGATGGTTCCTCCTCTGGTTCTTCTGCTATTAAGTCATACGTTCTTGTACAATCGTTTGTTTTGAGATCAGCACTTGCTTTCAAATTTTCATTTTCTTTGGATTCATACGACGAACTTTCCGCTGACTGACTAGGTGGCCAGTTTTCTGAAGATGACTGAAGTTGATCCATGGTAGTTGACATTCCTAAAAAATGTACATAATTACTGCACAATTCCTAAAAGAAAAGTTTACCGATATAAAACACACGAGAACTCGCATTTATGGCGATTTATTCAACACTAAACAGTGTAATAACCATTACTTTTTTGATCAAAAACATGATATCTATATAGACTTCAAAAACCCTTTGATTGTGTTTGCGGATGTGTCATTTTTTTATACAAACTGAAAAATTCCGAAAACAATAAAATTTTCACGGAATGATATCCTACTAGCAGCTTGAAAAGAGACAATCTTACTCGAGCAGATTAAAGGAAATTTTGCTCATTTTTTTCATTATTTCTACTCTTTTCTAATTTTGTGGAATTTTTTGGTACATTTGGTACAATATTTACTCTATTGTATTATATCTAGGTATATTGGTCCTCGTTTAGATCCATATCAATAAAGTTGGTTACTTCTATTTGATTCAATAGTAATACCTTTTGCAAGTTGCTGTTAAGCCACTGAATTTTTAGTTGAGTTGTAGCCTATGTTTCAACAACCTCTATTCAGATTTTTGCTTAAATCTATGTCTTCTAAGAATTGCAAGGCAAAACAGACGATGCTTAAAGATGTAAAAAGAGATGGGAAATCTAAAAGTTGCATTCCACAATATATCTCCCCATCTAAGCAAAAATCTTAGGCCAAGGGGTTTCTAGTGCTCATAACGAGTATATCGAAATAAAATACAGACAGTTAAGATTTCCCGTATAGTGCCTCCGTATATTCGCTTATACGTATTTCATCCCAACAGGACTCATAAGAGCGACTAATACAGAAGCTTTGAATGTGAAAACAAATCTTTTCCGTCGAAAAGAAGCAACAATAAAGTGGCTTCAGTATGAACGCTATAGCGACATCTGATGTCTTTCTTCTCTTGTGTTTCCAAGGCTTTTCCATGGTTTTTAAAGTCCTGCTTAGAGGACCTTTTAAGTTAATGAAATTGTAGCAATTTCAAGAAGTAAAAGTTTGGTTGAATTAGCAAAATATTAGTAATACATGACGCAATTCCATCTTCAAAGCAACGAAGATGATGCAAGAAAGATCAAGATCGAGTAATGATTTAAAAGAACCGTTGTCAACTCAAGGAATTTACCGCATTCCCTGTAATTATGATTCATTCATTGAATACTGAGCAATAAAAACTGAGTTCAGAACCATTCGATGTCTATAAATACCGTAGATATTAGGTGAATATGTAACGATGAGTCCAAGCCATCACCGTTAAATCAGCGTGCGCGCGAACCAACCCATGAAGTAGGAGTGTATCGACAGTAGAAAGGGCAAAACTAATTACCAAGCTCCGCTATATAAACCGCAACATTTCCTCATAGAGACAGAATCGACAGGTGTTGACTGAAGGTTCTCTTCTTCCCTACCCCGGATTGTGGACGTGTTGAGTTCACAAGTTGTTCCGTCCCTTACCGCCGTTACCCGAAGAGCGTGTTGAGCTCTTCACTACCCGTACTCTGAAGCAGTCGTGTTGAGACTGTCGAGGAGTGTCCTATTAACCGAATCACTTAAGGGGACGTGTTGAGTTCCTTTCCTCTCTTTGTACCTATCGTCCGCTGTTATTAAATCGATACAACGTTCCGTAAAAATTTCAAATACACACTCGCTTGCCGATAAGACTAATTTCATATGACAAGGTCAAACTTAATTTGAATAAATAGGCCAGGTACTGAGAAGACTAAACAAATTGTAAATATTTACATAAGATTTTTGTCAATTTAATTTAAGGAAGACAATAAAGTTTTATTATTTATTTTGAACTCTGTCTCTGACTGTCCAAAAGCTACCGGATAGTGACTCCTACGAGAGGACATCACAAATAGCATCAGCTAAAGGTACAACGTTAGCGCTTCGATTATGATAACATCTGTCGTAGTTGCAGACAAAATATCAGTAACGAATAATTCCGAAGCACGGCTTAAAAACTCCAAAAACACGATTACAATTTCAAAAAGTCTTACCTTCCACACTCATGCTTTTCTGTTTCATAAAAAGTTTGACCAGATTAAAGTTTGGTTGTTTGGTGTTGACATTATCACTAAAACTAGCATCTACTGAGGTCGCCATTTCTGAGACGCTGCCACTACCGCTGCCACTACTGTTAGCCTGATGTTGAATGTCAAACACTTTGACCGGACGTCTTTTCACCGTGCATGTATCAGTCTGAAACCAGATAGTTATGTCAAAAAACTTACACAAATGCACATACATAATTTAGAAAAATATTAAACGTATAAAATATATACAAACATTATTAAATCAAGATAGAGACGATATTACCCTAGTAATCAAAGTCTGTAGATTCTAACAAGTGACGGACATAGCATGGTGGCTATGTTAATGGATTAACAAGCTGGAGGGCCCGGGTTTGCTTCCCGCCAATAATACATGTTGCAATTTTTAATATAACTGGGCCGTCACCATGCTTTGGAAGGCACGTAAAGCCGTCCGTCCTGGCTACGTGAGTGGTATTTAGGTCATGTTAGGGGCGCTTGCGCACCTAAAATCCCTAACACTAGACCTTAACCAGAAGGTTACACGAACTTTTATTTTTTTCTTACAATTGAAATAGAACTGGCCATTAGGCAATTTCATACTAACAAAAGTCACGGACCAGACAAAATTTACTAAATCCTTAAATTAATAAGTAAAAGAAGGACTGCAAATTTTGGTTGATCCCACTATTCAGTACTGACAGAGTCCATTGTGAGAGTACATTGTTATTTGAGGTGTTAACATAACGAGCCTAGATATATATTATTTTTCACGCTTTTGCAATGTTAAGCATCAAGAAAAAATGCTAAAGACAAAAGCTTGTACGTATTTATATGGATTTACAAAAATATTTTTCGCATATTAATAAACTTTACATTTTGTAAAAGCAAACCTTTGTATCGGTAAAAACAAAACCATTAAATAATTGAATCAAAAATAGAAAGAAAAGTTTGTTTCTTATTTACCGTCTGAAGTTTCATATCGAATTTTTGGCAACGGTTTACAAATTTAAGACGCCGCGCCAGGTCAATAGTTTTGGAATAACACATGTCTCATTCATGCCTTAATAAAATATAACATAAATTATTTAATGAAAGGTATAGACTCCCAAAATAATTATACCAAGAACATAATTTAAATGTGTATTCATTTGATAGCAATGCGCGTAACTAAAATATATAAAACGGGGCCAATTTTAAAGTTCAAACTATTATGACGGACTATAAGCAGAACTCATGTTTCCGAAAAGATTAATTACTGATCATACTAACAAGATAATTATTGAACCGAAAAAAACTTAAATAAATTTCAAAGATCTAGACTACATATTGTAGATAACGAAATCGTTTGGATTCGTAGACTGTTCACACTATCCTCTTCTAACAAACTTCTAAGAATAATTATAAATAATAAGTTCTCATAGTTCTGATCTTCAGTTCAGATCAGTTCCGAAAGCCTAAAAAGCTAAAAAAAATAAGGGTGTTTATGTGTAATGGATCTTAGATAATGAGAACTGAAAATGGTCACGAAGATGCTGAGTGGACACTGTAGATAATAGACCATAGATAGAGTGAATAAACCATAATACAGGAAATTCAAAATGGATGAAGAAAATATCATACATGACCTTGTAAAGATTTAGTGACATGTGGTAGGTAAGGCAAACACATCCCAGACCAAGAAAAAGCAGATATTTGGAAAATATCTTGAAGAAGCTTTTCAACCTCTACCCTCTGTTAGTGCTGAAGAAGATGAACCTACTTACGAAAGTCTAGCAACAATCCAACAGCCAAGTGAGCAAATTAAACCAGCATCAAAAAGAGAAGTAAAAATACTATTTAATATTGATTAAAAACAAAAAAAGCTCCAGGCTATGAACTTATAACAGGAACTATCTTAAAAGAGTTAACAGACAAAGGAATAATTGTGATAACACAACTTTTCAATGCCTCACTAAGGCTCAAAATTTTACCAGCTCAATGGAAATTTGCTGATATAATAATGATCCATAAACCTGGTAAACCGCCTCACAAACCTATCATCCTATTAGTTTCTTGTTCGGAACAAATTTTTAATTGGTTAATTAGATGATCCTGAGCAAAAAAGACTAGTAAACTTTCTTTAAAATGATCCTTTTTGGAGTTATTGACAATTTAAGGTCTGAAAAAGTGCCAAAATGGTCATTTTCAAGGCTCGATAACTCAGTGAAAAATTAATACTTTTATGTTTAGCAATCGCCAAATTAAATCTACGCCAAGAGTTTTTATCGATAATTTTATTGCAACCATTCTTCTTCTTCAAGTTCTGCTCCTATAGGAGATTGGAAATCATTCTGGCAATTATAATTTTGTTGGTTACGCGCCTGAATAGTTCAATTGAACTGCATCCAAACCATTCACGGAGATTGCGTAGCCACGAGATTTTATGTTTCCTACGCTTCTTCTGCCTTTGATTTTACCCTGCATACCCTTATATTCCTTAGAAGTTTGTATGTTTCACCTCTCATGATGTGCCCCAAGTATTCCAATTTCCTGATTTTTATGGAATTTAAAACTGTGCATTGTTTTCCTAGTGGTTCGAGAACTTTTTCGTTTGTTTTGCGATCTATCCATGATATTGCAACCCATTGTTTTTTAATTGTTCATTTCGCGCCGGCCGAGTTACGCGACTGCTATATACATGTAGTCTGGAAACCAGTTAAGGAATAAAATTGTATCTTTAATTAAAAAAAAAATACTGAGACCCGTCAACTTTTAAATATCAATTTGGGCTTTTTAAACATAAATTTAAATATAGAGGGTGTACATCGTTTTTGTTTTAATGAAAATCCCTGTATATTTTTCTACTTTTAAAAGCTCCTTAACAATTTGATCTCACCCAACTATATTATGTAGAATCTAAACAATAATTATTATTTACTATTAAACTGGGAATAAGCCACAATTAAAGATAAAAATACGTTTATTGACGTTTCAATTTCCACTTCGGAAATCGTTCTCAAAATACAAACAGTAAATTAAACAATTTTTTTTTTTGAAAGTTATTATACAATACAATCTGAAATTTTGAAATCATGTATAATTTTCAATATATTGAGTTTTGTATCTAATTCCTTCCCTCTAATTTCCTCTACACACAACCACAATAACGACGTACTGAACGAACAATAATTAACACCGGCTCAGACGAAATACCGGACATAACCGACTATGAAATAAGAATGGCCCTAAATCAACTAAAAAACAAATAAATGTCCGGGAGAGGATAAAATTACAGTTGAAATGTTGAAAATTGGTGGCAGAAAAATGAAACAGGTATTTAATATTTTATTTAATAAAGTAATTGATGAAGGAAAGATTTCTCAAGAATGATACAATTCTGAAGTCATTCTACTATTCAAGAAAGGAGACAAAGCAAACATCGAGAATTACCGACCAATATCCTTGCTATCACATCTGTAAATTACTAACTAAAATCATAACCCACCGCCTAACACATAAGCTCGATTTCTATCAACCTATTGATCAGGCTGGATTCAGAAAACATTTTAGTACCATAGACCACTTGCACACCGTAAGAACACTAATAGAAAAATGCATGAAGTGTAACGGTCCAATTCATATGGCGTTCGTCGATTTCCATAAAGCATTCGATTCCATCGAATTATGGGCAGTGCTTGAATCTCTAGAAAATGCACGTTTAGATTCAAGATACACTAACATAATTAAAAACAGTATATGAAAATGCTACCATGCAGATAGAGCTGGACGAAAGAACAAAAACTAATCCCATAAGACTGAAACAGGGAGTAAGACAAGGAGACACCATCTCTCCCAAACTATTTACCCTTGCTCTAGAAGACATTTTTAAGAAACTAGAATGGAACAACAAGGATATCAACGTCGACAGATCATACTTAAAAATAAACTACAGTAAAACAAAAATACTAAGCTGAGACCATAACAATACAAAATCATACCATCGAAAATGTTGAACATTATGTATATCTAGGTCATGTCATCAAACTAGAAAAACCAAATCAAGATGCTGAAATTAAAAGAAGAAGACAACTAGCATGAGGCGCTTTTGGCAAACTAGCACATATCTTGAAAAACACCTCCATTCCTGTAAACTTAAAGAAAAAGGTGTATAATACATGAATACTACCAGTTTGTACCTTGATAAACAGTAGCCCTTACCAAAAAATCTGCCAAAAAATTAGAAACAATGCAAAAAGCAATGGAACGAATCATGCTTGGAACATCACTACGAAACAAGATTAGAAACACCGAGATAAGACGTAAAATGAAGATTCGGGATATTGTGGAAGAAATTACAAAAATGAAATTGCGCTGGGCAGATCACGTAGCCCGATATAATGACAACAGGTGGACAGGAGAATTCCAGAATGGAGACCAAGGACGACAACAAGAAGCATGGGGAGACCTCAAAAAAGATGGGTAGATGACATAAGAGCAGTGGCAGGCAAACAGTGGATTATATTGGCACAAGATAGAGAAAGATGGAAGCAATTGGGAGAGACCTATATTCAGGAGTGGATAGAAAATGTATATAAAAGTATACATAATTTCACTTTGTATTATTCATAATAGAGCCTAAACATTTTACATAGTTAGTTAAGATCAAATTGTTAACGATATTTTAAAACATAAAAATATACAGGGTGTTTTATTAAAACTAAAGATAATGGACTATGATAGACTTGCGTGAATCGCCCTGTGCATTCAAATTTATATTTAAAAACCGCAATTGAATCTAAAGATTGACGAGTTCCAGCGGTTTTTTCTATTTTCTAAAATAAGGACACAAATAATTTTATTCCATAAAAATGATTTCCACACTATGTTGTATATGTAGCGGTCGCGGAACTCAGCGCGGCGCGAAAGTAACAATTAAAAACAATGGGTTGCAACAAAGTTATGGATAAAACCTCTTCGAAATCTTGTAAAATGGAGTTTTAGGTTTAATTTTAAGATTGCTAAACTTAAAAATATTGGATTTCACTGTGTCATTGAGCCTCGAAAATGGCAATTTTTCAGACCTTAAATTAATAATAACTTGAAAACGATGCATTTTTGGCAAAAATACCACGGATCGTTTTTACTCAAAATGAGCCAATTTACCTAAAAAAAATATTCTTGATAAGAAAAACTAAATTTTACAATTTGTTAAAAAAAATGTTTCCAAGGGGACTATTTCCAGTAAGATTGTACAAAAATATGGAACGAGAATATTTTTGCTTGTCGGTGGTCCCTACTACCTGGACTAATTTAAAAAGTGATAGGGCAGATATACAATTAACTTTATATAATATTTATTTATAAATATCCAAGATTTCAAATTGACGAAAATATAATGTATAAATTGACGTGTTTACGAAATTGAAGTAAATTACTATTTAACTGGGAATAAGCCTCAATTAAAGATAAAAATACGTTTATTGTCGTTTCAATTTCCACTTCGGAAATCGTTCTCAAAATACAAACAGTAAATTAAACAAATTTTGTTTTTTTGTTACATAGTGAAAAATTCTTCTAATAATTTAATTTTATCTGACTCATTTATATTGACAATTCAGACATACATTATGCATTTTAAAGTAGACGACTTTAAAATGATATTGCCAATATTGTTGAGTTGCGCTCCTGGGACCACTTTACTTATAAGATAGTTCATTCGATTACATGAAATCAACTTTAACTTGAGAATATCCGTCAGAAAAAATCATCATATTTTTCATCATCATTCGTCAGAATTTACATATTAATGTAAAAAAGGGAATAATTAAATCCTTATACGATAGAGCCAAAATTACTTGTTCTAACGAAAATTCGTTCTTGGAGGAGAAACATTTGTTAACATCTGTTTTATTAAAAAATGATTATCCTTTATCGTTTATAAATAAGAAATTTTCAACAATCGATAAAATAGAACAGAAAATTTTAGAACCAGATCCTACAGCATACACAAGGAATAATACGAGGAAAATAACAATACCGTACATAAAAGGATTATCAGAAAAACTTAAAAGGATAGGCAATAAATTTAACATTTCAACAACATTCAAAACAACAGACACGTTGGGATCTATTTTGTCCAAAACCAAACCTAACAATGAACAAGAAAGGACAAAGAATTGCATTTATAAAATACCTTGTGAATGCGATCAGTTTTATTTAGGTGAAACATCAAGGCCATTAAATGTTAGAATAAGTGAACATCAGTCTTATATTAAAAATAGAGAATTTGATAGATCTCAAATATGTAAACACGCATGGGATAATGAACATAGGGTTCAATGGAATAATTCAAATGTAGTCCTAAAAGAGACGGATGGTAAAAAAAGAAAAATCAAAGAAGCGGCTTTAATTATGCTAAATGAGGCCAATTGTGTCGAAAATTCCTTGCAGAATGTAGTAGGATCTGGTTACCAATATTGAAATAGGAAGTTATTAATAAGAAAATACCAGTATTAGTAAGTCAGTAACATATAGAGGATACATCATTTATGTTTTTTAAATAACGAAACATATAAAATCAGAATTTTGGTGTTTATTGAAGGTAAACTAAATGCACAAACAAATACTTACCATGTCGGGATAGTATTATGAGGTTCTTTTCCTGGTTTTTCCCTCATAATTTACTATGGAATCACTAACAGGAGAATTTTACTGTCATCATGTCATGTGTTTGTCTTTTTAAAGACGAATTATATGCTATGATTTTTTCTGACGGATATTCTCAAGTTAAAGTTGATTTCATGTAATCGAATGAACTATCTTATAAGTAAAGTCGTCCCAGGAGCGCAACTCAACAATATTGGCAATATCATTTTAAAGCCGTCTACTTTAAAATGCATAATGTATGTCTGAATTGTCAATATAAATGAGTCAGATAAAATTAAATTATTAGAAGAATTTTTCACTATGTAACAAAAAACAAAATTTGTTTAATTTACTGTTTGTATTTTGAGAACGATTTCCGAAGTGGAAATTGAAACGTCAATAAACGTATTTTTATCTTTAATTGTGGCTTATTCCCAGTTAAATAGTAATTAATTTAAAATGCCACAAGAAAATAGCTTCAGAACAATATTAAGAAATTGAAGTAAATACAATATGGTCCAATCGTCAGAGATTTGATTTCTAAAACCGAGACAATCAAGCTGGATTTTGCTGTGGATGTCAATTTGGGGACCCCTATAAAAGGTGCAAAAAAGTTTACAACTACTACCCCCGGCTTCCCCCCAAAACTCTCTCGTAATGGGAAAATGAAAAACATCGATTTCCTAAGAATCTGTAGGCCGTAGAACAAAATGTTTTCAACAATAAATGTAGCTGAAATAATTTTGAACAAAACTGGTCGGGCCAAAACTTTTTGTGTAGAATGAACAGTTCTCTCAGAAACAACGCTTGAAGCCATCGGCGATTTTCAATGTCAGTTACGCGTGCGAACTCATTTTGTATCAACTCGATGGTAAGAAGTCGATATCTTTTGATCAAAGTGTCCTATAGACAAAAATCAAAATGCGTTTTAAAGGTGGAGAGTGCATCTTTTGTATGCAATTCTTGAATTTTGCCGCCAATGAAGACAGTTTCTATAAAGCTGTTAAATAAATAAACATTGCGCAATTTTTGCCATTTTGTTACGATTTCCATAATTTCCGAGATCTTGGAAAACAGGTAACAATGCGCTCAGCTCGAGTATTACCGGTGGGTTATAACTCTCGCAGCGGCCTTATACTTCAAATAAAACGTTTAAAACTGCTTCGTTTCGAATACACAAGTAAGTGTTTCACAACTAGATAACTTCAGTTATAAATTCCACCCAATGCCGTCTTCGAGTTAAGCATTTCCCGTGACGTGAAATCGTTTGTAATGTGAAAGTTTACATTCAGCGTTTTTTAGACATAATTCAAATGACTCATATTTGTTGCCAAAACACAAAATCAAAATTCCATGTTATAGGTTTAAAAAATTGGACTCTAACAATTAAAAAACATAAAAACATCACTCAAACATAAAAAAAACGGCAAAAATCGCGCAACGTTTAGTTATTTAACAGCTTTATAAAATCTGACTTCATTTGCGGCAAAATGCAAAAACTGCATACAAAAGCTGCACTACTCTCCACCTTTAAACGCATTTTGATATTTGTCGATACTAAACTAATTAAAAGATATCGAATTTTTACCGTCAAGTTGATGCAAATTTTATTTAACAAATTTATTTCGCGCGCGTAACTGACATTCAAAATCGCTGGCCGTTTCAGGCGTTCTTTCTGAGAGAACGGTTCATTTTACAGAAAAAGTGCTACATTTTTGTTTAAAATTATTTATTTATTTTTACGCACAACAGGCCGTTAAGGCCCTAGGGCATTTTTTAAAAACATAATCCTTATATTAACTAATTACAATTATTTTAAACAAAACTTTAACTCAAATATGTATATACAACATTCTTAACTACTCTGTAGGACCTGGTGGACAATATTTCTCCATTGTTTAAAATTATATCAAATACATTTTATGTTTTAAACATTTTTTCTGTAGCCTACAGCTTGTTAGGAAATCGATGTTTTCAGTTTCCCCCCTATAAGAGTCTTAGGGGTAAGCCCTAGGGTAATAGTGGCAAATTTTTTGAGTTCAAAAATTGAAATTATCAGCAAAATTCAGCTGTTCGTATCATTTTTAGAGGTTGAGTGATTTTTGTCTCTGATGACTGGACTAATAAAATTAATTTTTAAATCAATGCAAACAATAACAAAAATTAGTATGATATAGATCACGACCGTGAACATCTATTAGTCCCATATTATTAAAAATCCACAATTTAATAAAAATTAATAATATCAAAGCTATCGTAAGAGATAATTTGAAACAATTTCAGCCAAAATAGATAGCAAAGATCACGTAAGCGTATAAAATGTTACAGGAAAGAAAATATTGAAAGAACTTGGCTTCAGCTTTTATGAAGTATATATACCTATATTTCTGCAAAACTTTTAAATATATATTTATTGTATACATTATTGATAAAAGCAATAAAATTGTATAGAGATCAGAAAGTTGTATATAAATAATACAATTTATGGCGGCCATAACTTATTAACGTTTCCATGTAAATACGGATCAGTTTGTTATCTTTCTTGAATATTTAAAAAAATTATATTACTTAAACATCACAAAATGTACTCACCGAACTATTTTTGGAATATTCACTAACCAGCGACAGATTTTTCAGCTTCTGTTTGTACAAATTGGGCATACTTTGGCTCTTAGCTCCCACATCCGTTAAACCTAAATGACTAGCTTCACTTCCTGAATTGTTATTGTTTCCCGAAGGATGCCGTCGAAGATGGTTCTCGCTGCCGCGCTTCTTCAACTTACTCCACGTGGTAAAACTGCTCGAGTCCGACTTCGTCATCGAGTTGTCTAGCACTTTCAGATTCTTTTTCGGAACGTTCAAGTTACTCGACCAGTGTGCACTGTCTGAATGATGGGAATTCGGGCTCTTATCTAAAAGTAATTAAGTCATAGAACCCTTGTTATTTAGAAGACGATATTAGAAATGTTTATTTAAAGAGATAAATTTGTAAACATTCCTTTACGACAGCTGTAATGAGTCATTAGAAGTAAGTTCATAATAAGTTACCCGGGGTTTCAAATGTGCATTGTTTATGAAAGTACCTGATGCTAATTTACATATTTTTATGAGGCTATTTCTTTAGATAAACAAATAAATATATACCCAAATAAAAAGATTAAAAAAGAGAAAGTGGTTGTTGATCAAAAATTAGAATAGATTAAAAATATGTTTTATTATCACTGAAAATTGTACAATTTTATTGACAAAGCTTACAAAAAGTCAGAAAATAACAATAAAAATTAAAATTTACTGAAATTACATAAATCGTCAATATCACAAAATAAACGATAATAAAATAAACAGTCCATTGCAAAATTTATATAAATTTCAAATTGCATAATAACACCTTACGACCTAATAAGTTAGAGTGGCTGCGCATGATACCCAAATATAGATAAAATTACTTTAGGTACTTGTACATAAAGTACTGTAATTTCTTAGTTTTGAATGATTTTCTTTCATTCATTAAAAAAATCATTCAAAACAAAAAATCTAATTAAATATAATGAAACTAATCGATTAACTAAAAAGAGAATAAAATAAGCTAAGGAGAGAATGTTACATGAGCAGTGCCAAGAAATAGAAGAAATTGAGAAAAAATATGACTTTTTTAACATGCATAAAAGAATTAGAGAATTACCAGGAATGAGTAAAACACTTCAAACTAGGAAACTAAGAGATGAAAGTGGTGCACTTATAACATATATAAACCAAGAAATGCAGAGACGGACACAATATATAGCATAACTTTTTGAAGACAAAGAGAGAACAGAAGCACCAAAAGAATTTAAGGATGATACTGTGCCTGACATTATACGAGAAGAAATTGAATATGCAATGAAACAAGATAAAGGTGGTAAATCTCCCGGGTCTGATGAAGTTCCTATCGAATTACTCAAAATTGTGATTACTGAATCTATTGATCTTCTATTGGATCTATTCAATACCTTATATAGAATAGAACAGGTATAACACCTAAAGAATGGCTCCAATCAACATTCATACTGCTTCCCAAAAAAGCCAATGCAACGGAGTGCAATGAACATCGCACCATAGCCTTAATGAGTCATGTCTTGAAACTGTTTTTAAAAGTAATTCACAATAGAATACATAAGAAATTAGATGAAGACAAAGTCATACACAAATGGGATTTAGAAAAGGACTGGGAACACGAGATGCACTGTTTGCAGTAAGTGTTCTTTCGCAGAGATGCTTAGATATAAATCAGGAAATATATGTTTAATTGATTTTGAGAAGGCATTTGACAGAGTGCAGCATAATCGGTTTAAAGAAATTTTATTAAATAAAAACATAGACAGTAGAGACAGTAGAATCATATGTAACCTTTATTGGAACCAAACAGCAAAAGTGAAAGTTGAAAATGAACTGACCGAGGATATCCAGATTCGCCGTGGGGTACGCTAAGGGTGTATTTTATCACCCTTGTTTTTCAATTTATACAGTGAAGCCATCTCAGAATTAGCGCTTGCCGAGGTCAGTGAGGACCTTATACTAAACGGGGAGCCACTTAATAACATAAGATATGCTGACGACGCCGTCCTTCTGGCAGGAACACTAGAAGAACTGCAACACCTTGCTGAACAACTAAATATATATTGCAACGATTATGGACTGAAAATAAATTTGAAGGAAACCAAGTTCATGGTATTTACAAAAGCACAAAACATCAAAGTTAAGCTAGTACTAGATACTACAGGAATTGAACAAATATCTTCATACAAATACCTTCGAGCATGGATCACAGAAGATACTGATCAGACAAAAGAAATAAGATGCCGCATTGAAATTGCATGGTCAACTTTTAATAGAATGAGAAAACTTTTTTGTAATCGCGATATCAATATATCGCTCCGGATACGAATGCTTCGATGTTATATTTTCTCTACTTTTTTGTATGGGGTTGAAGCTTGGACACTTAAAAATTCCAACATTAAAAACCTATAAGCATTCGAAATGTGGTTTACCGACGTATTTTGAAAATATCATGGATGGATCGCAAAACAATGCGAAGTTTTACATAAAAATCAGGAAATTGGAATACTTGGGCACATCATGAGAGGTGAAAAATATGAAATAATAAGGGATATAATGCAGGGTAAAATCAAATTCAGAAGAAGCGTAGGAAGACGTAAAATCTCGTGGCTACGCAATCTCCGTGAATGACTTGGATGCAGTTCAATTGAACGATTCAGGGGCGTAACCAACAAAATTATAATTGTCAGAATGATTTCTAATCTCCGATAAGAGCGGAACTTGAAGAAGAAGAATTTCTTAGTTATTTGTTAAGAAAGTCTTCTATTGAATAATATGATCTTTCAGATAGGTAGGCTTTTGTCATTTTACGGAACTTGAGGAAAGATGTTGCAGATTTAAGTTGTAAAGGGAGATGGTTGTATAGTATTTTTACCGAACATAGTATAGATTTCTTTACTAACTCAGTGGACGAGATCGGTAAACAAACATCAAAGGTTGAATTTCTGATGGAGTAGTCATGATTTGTCTAGCTGAAAAAACATGTAGGTGTTTACGAATTAAGCAATCAGTTTCTAAAATATATAAACAGGGAACCGTTAAAATCCTGTGGTTTTTGAAGTAGGTTCTGCAATGTGTTGTTCTTCTGATGCCAAACAGATATCTTATTGCTCTTGTTGATAATTAAAAAAAACATCAGATGGGGCAGCTGTACTAGAACCCCAAAAAAGACCATATCAAAGATAAGACTCGAATAAAGAAAAATATGTTTTGGAAGATGTTAAATTGATTTACTTCGAAGCAGATTTTATTTCATAGCAGGCTGGGGCTAGTTTCTTACCCTTACTTTAAGATTACAGTCTATAAAAATACCAAGAAATTTTACAGAATCAACTGACACTGATACTGATCTGGCTATTATTAAGAAGCAAGTAAAGAGCTTCTTTATAGGAAAATGATACTGTCTTATCCACGTTAAGTTACATAAAGAGTTGCAATATTAGCGTTTCTCCAAGTGATACTGATATCATCAGCAAAAAGAAACATTTTTCCATTGATTTTTAAATTAGTGATATCATTTATAAAGATAAGGAAAAGCAGAGGACCCAATACTGAACCTTGTAGTACTCCACATACAATGATTTTTTTGTGACTTGAGTCAGTATCATTTGTTCTAACTAGTTGTTTCCTATTTCCCAAGTAAGATTGGACCAAATTCAAAGAAATACCTCGAATTTCGTAGAAATTTAGTTTTTTATCAAAATGTCATGATTTATACAATCAAAAGCTTTGGCAAAGTCAGAAAAAACAGTGGCAGTATAAAGATTATTGTTTAGTGCTTGATAAACCTCATGTAGTACAGAAAACATAGCGCCCTTGTACATTTATTAGATAAAAAGCCGAACTGGTTTTGTGATAAAATGTTGTTTTCACCGAGAAAGGACATATGTCGGGCTTTTATAAGTTTCTCAATTATTTTGGATAGTACTGGTAGTAAGGCAATAGGTCTATAGTTGCAGGCATTCGACTTTTCACTACTCTTATGAAGAGGAATAATAATGGCTGTCTTTACGCCGTATGGAAATATACCTTTATACGAACTGCATCCTTACTAACATCATACTGTCATGCACTTTTTCGAAGGGATGTAGAAAGGTCTTCTACAGATGTTGGCATAACGTCCAATGATTTTTTATCATTAGTTGCGGTTTTTGGTCGGACACTTTTAGGGCAATATTTAGTTGAACCCACTTATACCCACAAAATAAATAGTTTACGTTCTCTTGGGGTAATGACATACCCGGTATATTTCTAATTTACTTATGGGTATATACACTTGGGTATATAGATAACGATATACACACTGTATAAATTGTTACAACCATGAATAAAAGTGTTATACCATTAATAACAGATACTAGATACACAACCAAAAAAAGAACAGACTTGCTTTTCAGGGACAAAAAAGGTGAGGGAGCCCAGTTATTTCAGTTTAAAGCTACCCTAATATAAAAAAACCCCGTTAATCCTTTTAAGTGGGGCAACTTATCCGCACATTATTTGGGAAACTCACCTTTTTCATTGTAATCACTATCTTCCGAATACATGGTAACTGATCCTTCAAACGCAATGGTATAGTTATCTTTGTTAGCCTGGCAGGTTAACATCATATCATGAAAATCACAATCCAAAGAATCTACGCTAAAATTCACAGGCACAGGTGTTTCCTTGACTGGACTAAAAAGCAATTCCGATTTGCAAATCGACATGGAGTTAGAGTTGGCTGAACATTCGTCACCTTGAGAGCTACTGTGCGGGCTGATGGAGCTGTCCAAGTCGAATTTAGCCATCATTGATCCCGATACGCTGGCGTAGCATTCTCCTTGTCTATTATTCTAAAACGGAAAAATATTGTTGAAAAATTATCATTAATAATTTTTATACTATTTGAGTATTATATAAAAGACGGTTTGTTATTATTATTTTTCCATCGGCTAATTTTACTTCATACAATTGTCTATTAGTTACGTTTTAAAAAAGTGTTACAAAAAATCATTAGAATGTTGTATCGGCTAAATATATAATATATTGCAATAGGAAAATATAACGAAAGTATGATTTGATTGATATAAGGTTGAATGCTCGAATAAATGAACTTTGAAAATGAAAGGCAAATATCGAGCACAATTTTAACAATTAAATCTTGCCCATGTACTTTCGCCTAATACAGCATCTTCAGGGCATCTGAAATAAGTCAAGAAAAACGTTTTTTTTTAATGAAGGAAATTAATTAACTTGGATAAAAACTAATAAGTTAATGGATGATAAAAGTTTTTTATGATTAACGTTTTAGACTTACTTCGTCAAATTTGGGCTATCCAGCAAGCGTAGAATGTGATAAACATGAATCTTAACACTACACTAAAACAGGACAAACAGTTTAAAATTTGACGAAGTAAGTCTAAAACGTTAATCACAAAAAACTTTTATCATCCATTAACTTCGAGTTTTTATCGAAGATATATGCCCCTGAAGATGGTGAAGATGGTGTATTAAGCGAAAGTACTTGGGCAAGATTTAATTGTTAAAATTGTGCTCGATATTTGCCTTTCAATTTCAAAGAAAGTATGATTAATTGAAAATTGAAGGGAAGATTGTTCTTACACTTTTCTTGATAACTCCGTAGTTACTACTGAATTTTGTTTAATTTTTGTTTGATATTCTTACTTTGTACTTAATCATTGACAAGGTCACACTTTAATCCGATTATTAAAGAGAATTTTTGATCTTACTGAGATTGTGCCAATAAAACTCATTTTTTGTGTTTTGTTTTAGATGATTTATTTCATAGGTCTCACAGATAAATTGTAGTTGGTATATTCCTTTATGTATTTATCTTCAGTTTCGGTAACCAACATTAGGTTTCCTACGTCCTACATATACAAAAAGAATTAAGAATAGTATTTTTATCAAGATACATTTCTTCTTTATGTTTTATTTTAGATCCTTTCTTTATGTTGTCTACAGGTTATTTACAGGTCGATCAGTTTATTTGGGCTAAAATATGCCCATTGTGCCAACTTATATAATGTAATTCCCTTCAACCCATAAACTCATATGGATATAATACCCATTGTCTTATGCCCAATACCTGTCAGTGGAAAAAATATAGTGTGTTGAAGTTAATTTTTTTTTCATTTGTTGATAATTTCACTGCATATTTTTAAATTCTAATCAAAATTAGCAAAAAGTTATAACTTTGAATAAGGAATATTTTGATGATGTTTATCTATGTTCGTTGTTTTGTTTGTTTGTTGGAAAAACAAAGCAAGGAACAAAACAGAATGGCGGAAAATCCTAGAACAAGCCAGGACCCGAGAAAGGGTTGTCGAGCTACTGATGTTGATGATATCTATTTTCTGGGAAAGCCCCAGGAATCGATGAAATCTGTTCGGAAATGTATAAAAAAAGGTGGTGATATACTTTTTGCAGCAATCCATAAACTAATAGTGCTTATATGACAGAATGAATTGGTACCAGAGGAGTGGCTAAAGGGAATAATATGTCCATTGCATAAAAAGGGTGATCACCTGGAGTGTAAGAACTATAGAGGTATCACTCTGATAACATCTGCGTATAAAATCTTACCAATATATTGTTTAAAAGACTTTTATTTTACATTTTACAAAGGATATTGTTTGGATTTACTGCTGGAAAGTCAAGTACACATCAAATTCAATCACATAGGCAGATTCTAGAAAAGTCACTAGATACATATATACACACCATTTCTTCGTCGACTTCAAAGCCGCCTATGACAGTGTGAAAAGGACTGCATTTTATCTGATGCAATGATAGACTTTGGGATTCCACCTAAGGTACTTAAGTTGATCTAACTAACAATGTAAAATGTCAGCTCATGCGTTAGAACTGAAGGAGAAAGGTTTTGACATTAATAATGGTCCAAGTCATGGAGACACACTGGCGTGTCTACTCTTTAATATTGCCTTGGAAAAGGCAATCAGACAATTAAATATTAGAATGAATGAAAATATTTTTAATAGATCGATGCAAATTCTCGTATTCGCTGACGATATAGATATAGTGGGCAGAAGTATGAGAGACATGGTGCAGTAGGTATTTTGCAAGGTTTGCAGACGCGGCAAGTGAATTAGGACTTGTGGTAAACGAGGAAAAACCAAATATATGTTGGTTTCTAAAAAACCCCGAAATATCCAATAGAGAATTCCAATTAACAACCATACTTTCGAGCAAGTCAAAGAATTCACATATCTTGGATCGCTAGTAAACGCAAAATACACGACAAGCGACGAAATAAAAAGACGCTTACCAACAGCAAACAGAACTGTTTACGGTCTCCAGAAACATTTAAAAAATAAAAATATAAAACGTGCAGTAAAGCTCAATATGTACAAGACCTTAATAAGACCGGTTTTGATATATGAGGCTGTGGACCTTATTTCAAAATGATGAAAGACTTCTTGGAGTTTTTGAGATAACAATACTTAGAAAGATTTTTGGGAGAGTAAATGAAAATCGGCTATGGCGTCGAAGATACAACTTTGAACTATATCAGTTATACAACGATCCAGATATTGTGAAATTCGTTAAAGTGCAGAGACTGCATGGATTGATGATGTGGAAGAAGACCTACAGATTCTAAAGGTAAGAAGATGGAGGGAAGTTGCCAGGAATCGACAGGAGTGGTGACTTCTTTGTGAGCAGGCCAAGATCCGCAACGAATTGTCGAACCACTTATGATGATGATGATATCTATTTTCTCTTTATGGTCGTACGGATCATTACTACGGGGCAGATGATGCTAAAATAATACTACAACCGATTTCAACATTGGAATTCCGCAACTGTTAGACTAGCATGCCATTTACAAAATATTGTCTACACAATTTTAATGTAAGTATAATATGAGAAAGTAGAAACCATCATTTTTACCTCTTGACTTAAATGATCCGTGCACATCGGTGGTAGATTCGTCAACAAAGCATGAATATCTTCGGTTCGGAAGCTTTCCATGTCAGCCTCTGCCAAATTTGCGTCCATATTTTTCGAGAAAGCGTCGTAATAGTTGAGATCGCCGGCTTCGTATGATTCGGGTAGAGATAGAATACTAGTGTGGTTATTGGTTCCTCCATCTCTATACCTGAAACAATAATAAATATTATAAATTGATCATACAGAGCATTTGATGGTTGTATGATGTATGTATACCTATGTGTAAATTGTATTTTGATTTTAAACGTGCAGAACAAATGTTTTATTTATTTTTCTAATTGGGAAAAAATTGGGCGTAAAAGTGGCCCAAGGCACTTCTGAACACCCATTTGAATTCTTATAAAATCGCCAGAAGTTTACTGATATTACATAACTAATAAAGAAATAAGTCCAGAATAAAAAAACCGACATCATACAATTCTTGAACTTGAATTGTTTCGTTTTTAATATACTTAAATAGAGGGTACTTCAAAAAGGTATGTCATAAATTAAATCACGCATTCCAGGGACAAAAATAAATTGATTTTAACCAACTTAACTTAAAAGCTACAGCCCTTAAAAGTTACAGCCCTTTGAAGTTACAAAATAAAAATTGTTTTTTTGCATTATGTCCTAAACTACTTGACATTTTGTAATAAAAATATACACGTTACTTTCTTATTCTGAAAGCATTTTTCATACAAAAGAAACAACAAAATCTAAGCGCACAGAAAAATTTTAAGGGGGGTGTGCAACCCTAAATCCCCCCAAACTTTTGAGTACGTTCAAATCAAATGAATTTTGTGGCATCATTAGTTTAACACATTATTTTTAAAACTTTTTTGCCTCATCACTTTTTCGAAAAACTAGTTTTTCCTAGTTTGCCATAAAATTACAATAAGTTTCTACGGATACAATAATTACAAAAAGTTCCATCAATTATAGTCAATAATTTGAAGCTATCATTTATTGTGTGGATAAGATTAATATTAAAAATTTTGATATTACAATGGCCTAAACATTTCAGGAAATGGCAGATATGCATTTAACTTTGGGTAAGTTGGATTAGATTAAATTATGATTTCAATAAACTATCGGGAATATCGTAGGTGAATGTCAAGGAAATAGTGCAGCAGCTGCAAGGCGTTATGCAGTAAAATACCCCAATCGAAATATACCCGATAGACGATTATTTCTGACCATTGATCGTCGTTTACGGGAAACGGGTACATTCCAACCGCAAGTTGATGGCAATCGTGGTCGTCCAATAATGGATGAAACTGATGATGACATTTTAGAAATCATTGAAGAAGTCCCTGAAGCAAGTATAAGGGTAATAGCTGCTCAACTAAATATTCCTCACGTAAGCGTTTGGAGCCGTTTGAAGGGTCAGCTGCTTAAACCCTATCACTTAACAACGGTTCAAGAGTTATTGGTTGAAGATTATCCTAAAAGGATTGGATTTTGCGATTGGTTGTTAATGGAAAATACTCGAAATGTTAATTTTATTAGAAATATTTTGCTACTTGCTGAAGGCTACCTTCAGTAGACATGGAATAACAAACCATCATAACGAGCACCTTTGGACCGACGAAAATCCTCACGCCAATAAACCGACTAATCACCAAAGGACTTTTAAAGTTAATGTTTGGGCAGGAATTGTGGATAACAATCTAATAGGCCTAGTATTTCTTCCCAACAATTTAAATGGTGATAATTATTTGCAGTTCTTGGCAAACGATTTATAAGAGTATTTGGAAGAAGTGAATATTGCAATAAGGCAAAATATGTGGTTTCTACAAGATGGCGCTCCACCGCATTACAGTATTGAAGTCCGGGAACACCTTTGCAGGCAATATCCTGGTCGGTGGATTGGAAGGGGTCGTGACGCACCTATTTCTTGGCAAACCAGAAGTCCAGGTCTTAACCCCATGGACTTTTGCTTTTGGGGGTTTGTGAAAGGGAAAGTGTATTCTGTAACAATAGAGGACGAACAACAATTGAGGGTTAGAATAATTGAAGCTGCAAATCAATTTCGTCAGAAAAATATGATCTTTCAGCGCATTCGGGTTTCCTTATTAAAACGATACCGAATGTGTATTGAAGAAAATGGGGGCCATTTTGAACATTTATTGTAATATCATATTTATAGAGGTTATAGACATTTTTTGTACTTGTTAATTCATTTCTAAAGGTTAATAAAAAGGGCCGTAACTCAATAAAAACTGTTTTTTGAAAAAAATGATAAGGGGCAAAATTTTTTTTTAAAATAATGTGTTAAACTAATCATGCCACAAAATTCATTTGATTTGAACGTTCTCAAAAGTTTGGGGGTTTTAGAATTTTTTTGTGTGCTTATATTTTGTCGTTTCTATTTTATGAAAGATGCTTTCAGAACAAGAAAGTAACGTGTCCGTTTTTATTACAAAATGTCAAGCAGTTTAGGAGATAATGCCTAAAAACAATTTTGATTTTGTAACTTCAAAGTGTTTTGTGTACACTTTTGTACTAATTAAGTTGGATTCAATCAATTTATTTTTGTCTCCGAAATGCATGATTTAATTTATGACATACCTTTTTGAAACACCCTGTATATAATAAAAAGGTTATAAATATATAATGATAATATGAATATACATAGACATTAGTTATGAAACATACTTCGGGATGTTTGTTTAATTTATGTGTTTTATAAAAAATTAATGAAACCCAAAATTAGTTTGGTAAACGTTTATAGTTTGTTATTTATTTTAAATAGATAACCATTGCAATTTGGATTTAATTAACATGTGTATATCAGCAAATTAAATTTATTAATATACACGAATATAAAATGATAAATATTAAATTTAGATTATTGATTTTGGTAACATAACTACATGATTTTGTATCATGAATATTATATAAAAGAAATGACCTAGAAAATTTTATATAATAACAAAGAAAATACAAAATGTATTAGAATAGTTGTCTTTCTAAGACGTTCAAGAACCAAACAATCAAGAACTGAACACATTTTACTAGAAGAAGTAACACAAACGACAAAAAAAATGTTCTCATGGGTTTCTATAATCGGTTCACAATTTGTTGATAGCTCACTACAAGTTTAATCCTAATTAGAGAACTGAAATACAGAGAGGATAGGTAATACGATATAATAGTAAAAACCAACCTGAAACTGACGATTTAAGATGTTTTCGACTAACCCACCTTGTATCTGCCGGAATACAATACAGCGGTCAAGCTTATAATCCGATTAGGAACGTATTTTGGCCGACCAGTGTCGTAGAGTATATGATTGAAACATTTATTTAAACTAAATAAATATATTTTTTATTTTTGTTTTAATAAAACTTAAAATAAAATATTTTATTCAAAAATAAAGTTTTTTGCCATTTGTAAAAGATACATTTATTTAATTAAGGGGAAAGGCACCAAATGTGTTTTAAATGTATCCATTATTTTCGAATTCGGAGAAAAACTAATAAATATTTTTGAAAAATTTAAAAGCAGAATGAAAGATTACATTATTACTGAGGGTATTATATATGTGTATACTGATGTATATTACAGAAAGTCCCTGAAAACTTCTACAATGTTTATTTTATTATGTTATGCAACAGGGGTAAAAATAAAAGAGAGAATATAGTATAATTTTTAATTGAAAATATTGCATGCAAAAGAAACTTTTTATTTATTCTAATAAATATTTTATTCTGCCTTTAAATTTTTTCAATAGGATTTTTAGTTGGACTGAAATTCCAACAAACCATGCTTAACAAATCCTTTTTCACTGCCAATGTGAGAAATTATTAATCTACTGCCTTTACCAGAAGGTGGGGAGATACCAGTAGACCAACCTTCCATAAAGGCTTGCCTGGAGCTTAATATATTTTTATCTGACCAAACTGTTTTTAGAGTATGACCTGAGTTTACCCACGATTCATCCTGGTAGAAGATTGGTCTTCCTTCAGCCCGGAATTTTCTTATGGATCTTAGATAATTTCTTCTCCAACATATTATCTCCTCCCGGTCAATCAAAAGTGATTTTCGGTCTGATTTCTCCCACCGGAAATTTAATTCTTTTAAAACTTGCCACAATTTAGTTCGTCCGATATGAGGCAAATCCGGATCATCTCTAACTTCTTGTAAAATTTTATTTAGGTTTGGTATTTCTTTTTTGAAAAAAAATCCATGAATTTTCTTTCGAATACCATTTTTGGCAAATTCATCAAGTTCAATAGGCTTTTTCCCTCTCTTTAAGTGTTCGTTTGTGTTTGGGTTAGCTATACAGTGTTTTTTTCTTTCTGATAGAAACCTATTATATATATATATATATATATATATATATATATATATATATATATATATATATATATTGATAATGTTGTATTTTATTAATTTTATTTTTTATTTATAATAAATGTAATTTTTAAAATATGTGGTTCGTTGTTTAATTTAATATATACCTCAGCTAGCTCAATTATATGTTCTAAGCAATCTGTCACTGTGTGACGTCGACTCTGTAGTCTCCTGGTAGAGTTCAAAAAGAAATTAAACCAAAATTTACTTTAGACCTTTGATAAATTAACCCAAATGAAGCACGTTATTTATTAATATTGAACAAATTTAATATAAACAATAAAATTCGTCTGCAACTTCGGTTGCCTTTAAAAATTTACAAAAATAGGAATCGTTTAAGTCTTAACGTGGTTTAGTGACGTGACAATAAAAATGTATTACAAAATGTGGAGACTCTCTACAAGTACCTAAAAACTAAATAAATATTGCAACTTTATAAAGTGTTTAAATGAACTATAAAGAAAAAGAAAATGAACACTTTATTCCGCTGACTATTCAAATATAATCAAAATTTCAAATGATCCCCAAAATTATTGTCCAACCTCACTTTAAAACAGTTCTGATTTCTTTAAAGGAAACTAACTACTCAAAAATAATCGGTGAAACTGGAATATCAATCCTCTCTTCGGAAGTTAAGGTACGTACTATTCTATTTTTAATTTAATGATCATTAATAATTTCAATTTTTAAGGCCTATCGCAATTATGTTAATTCATGAATTTTAATTTTCTCAATTTAAATGACATTTCTATACTCCAATATAATTTATAAGTGAAATTGTTTCTCTTACTCTCTGGAACAAATTTC